TTAGGTCTTGGTGAAATAATGTTTGGTGACTTGATGTCACGTATACATTTTTTTTTTAAATTGCATGATAACGATAATGATGGGTATCTTTTAAAAGAAGAAATATTACAAATGTCAGAAAGTTTCTTATTTATATTTAGAAATCGACAAGATGATAGACATCTTAATTCTGTTTCGAATTTCATAAAAAATTCTTTTGAATTTTCTGATCCATTACAACCAGAGAAAAATCAATTAAAATTTAATAACCATGATAGTATAAATTCAAAGTTACAATCCCAAAACGAAAATGTGGAGGATAAAAATGAGAGGGATGAAAACGAGGAAAATAAAAACGAGGGAGATAAAAACGAGAAAGAAGAACAACGGCTAAAAGAAATCAAAGAAAAGATTATTATGAATGATACAGAGGATTATAGAATGTCCCTTCCATCATTTAGAATGGTTATTTTGGCTGATGCCTACCTCGAAGAATTTTTTGATAAAGACTTTGCTGAATCATTCAAATTTATTGTACCAACTGAAGAAAGACAAAGAAGTTTTGGTCGTGAAATATTTAATTCTTTGATGACAGATGGTATGAAAATGGCAGGAAATTTTGGTAAAAGATTGAATTACCGATTATCAAATTCACACAACAATAGTTCATCAATTGATCCCAAAAAAGTCAATACGTCATCATCAATACCATCACCGTCATCATCTTCATCTTCTTCGTCAAAATCAAAACCGTTTAAAACTATTGCAAAAACTACTATAACCACAACCCCACCATCAACAACTTTATCATCATCACCTAAACTAGATAATAATAATGATTCTACTGTTTCACCTGAAAGTGAACCTTTACTTGTGACAACACATGGTAGTCCATCAGAATCTTTTCTTTCAATAGAGTCAAACAAATCTTCCAAGGCTATAGAATCTCCTATATCCTTTGAATCAGATGATGATGATTATTATGAAGATGATGGACTTTTACAAGAAGTTGATAAACTTTTGAATGAATGTAACGTAAACTTGGATGGTATTTATTTCCTTCTATCTATTTTCTTATCTATTTAATTAAAAGCTTTTCCACTATTTTAAATTTTATCGAATTATATTTTTCCTTAAAAAAAAAGATTCATTGTTAGATAACGATGATGATAATCACACAGATTACACGAAAGAAGGTAATTGTTTGTTTGATTTTTTTTATTTTTATAAAACTTTTATAAAACTTTCATATTTTAATTCTAATTTTTTTATCCTTCTCAAAAAAAAAAAAATAGGCAATTTTGATAGATTATCAAACGAGATAAAAAAAAATTAAAAATATAATAATTTATAAATCTTTTTCTAAAAAAAACATAGAAATAATAATTTATTTATATATTTGTCATTGGTTTATTAATAGCTGATTATTCATTTTTGATAATAATAATTGTACATTTATGTCTTTGTAATCTTAAACTTCTAGTCTAGAGAGTTTTTATAAGATCTGAATGTATTTTATATATATATATTTTTTTTTTACAATAAAGAATATTTATTGATTAAATAATTTTGATTCAAAATCAGTTATTGATAGACTTTTTTAAGAGATTAATTGACAAACTTGACCTACATACACTTTTACAAGAATTGTATTAACATCTGGCTCTTCCAATATATTCAACATTTTAAAATAAATTGATTTGGTTTCTTGTACATTGAAATATTAATATAGAAAATCAATTGATGTGACAATGTCACACGGCCAGTAAGACTCCTTCGATTTATTCGCGGATCGTCAATTAAAATATTATTTAATTTTAGAAAAATGACAACTATCGAAGAAGTTAGAAACGAATTAAACCGTGCAAATAATGGATTAGATGCTGCAGTGGGGGAGTTGAAGAGGTTTGACGATGTGAAGAGGTTAGGCGAAGTGAAGAGGCTAGGCGAAGTGAAGAGGCTGTTGAGGAATTTGAATAATAAAATAAGAAGAGAAAGAGATGAGGAGGAAAAGAAAATTTTAGAAAGGGATAAAGAAGAATTGGAAGGGGAGAGAGACGAGTTGGAGAAAAAAGAAGAGAAGTTGGAGGTTGAGAGGAATAAGTTGGAGGTGAGGAGGGATAAGTTTTTGGACCAGGTGAACTTTTTACAAAAAGCATTAATCAACTTTGGCAAAGAAGAAGGTAAATGAACAAATTGCATAAAAAAAATATACAAAAAATTATTTCAATTTGTTCCATTTCGTTTTATTTATTCACTTGTATACCATTTGAACATTGACTAACATCTATTCATCACATTTATCATTATCATTTATTCATCTTGTTGTGAGCAAACATTTTTTATGATATTGATTAACTTGTACTTTTTTCTTTCAATAATTTAAATTTTAATCTTTTTAAAATCATGCTTTCTTCTATAATTTGTGGTATTTTAGCAAAAGGAGGATATTGTCATTTAAAATCAATTATTATCATGAAACATTAATGATATTTCATATCTACATAAATTATCCTAATTTTTTATTCCTTTAGTTCATTGTCATTTTTTATTTGCTAATTTGAACAATCAATTGATATGTCATTATAATTTAGCTAACTTCATCTCTAATATTTTTTTTATAGCTCTTCTATCAAATGAGGGAATATGTTCTGGTGATACATCATTCATTATATTAAGAAATAAAACTGTTACTGGACTTGTTGAGATGATTCGACAAACTCGTGTTGTTCAAGTTAGAGGTCCCCCATATTCTGGAAAGACTAGTTTAGCACAAGCAACTGAAATTTATATCAGAAAGAAGTATCCAAAAACACAAGTCATATTTATTACTTTTGCTGCTGCCAATGAGGATTATGAATTTGAGAAATATATTAAGGTGAAAAAAAATCATATTTTGTGTGTATGAGATGATAATAATCAAATTCTATTATTATTATAATAGGAAAAATCTGGTAAATCATGGGATGAATTTTAAACTCAGAAACCAACACAGTAGTAATATTTGATGAAGGACAACAAACTTACAATAAAGAAAAACACAAAACACATATACTTTGGGAGGGGACAATCAAAATGATACTTCAATCTAATACCCGACTTTATCAATAGTTTTGTTTTGTGCTTATGATAGTTCTAATGATACAAGCCTTCCTAAGTTAGCTACTTCAATCAAATTTAAATCAGGAAATATTGTTACAATGCATAGTAGAAAAGGGAAATCATTGGTTTGGAACTATTTGATGAAGAATTTGAGATGATGAATAAGTTCAGTAATGTATATTTTAGACTTGGAAATTCTGTCAGAAGTTTAATCAAAAGGCTTACTCACAACCATGCAGGACTAGTTCATCACATCTTGGATACTTTGAGAAAGAGGATTATGAATAATGATCGAATTGAAACCAGATCTACCCTGCATGGAATTTTTACATTCAAGGCTATTTGCTGATACTCTGCCAATTTATTGCCGTGGATGTCCTCACTATAATACAATTCACAATGATCCTAATATGGAAAAGTTAATACTTTAAAATATATAGTTTCAGTCCAAGCCTTATTTTTTTTTTCTGGCATTTTTTTCTTTACTTATGATTATTAATCCATTTCCAAAAGGTTGTTAGATGATGTCTATTTTAAGCCAAATGTGTCAATAAACCTTTACTCACCAGGAAGAAAAGCTGCAGTTGAAAGAGCAATAGAATTTGGATACATATATGAAGATGAGCCTTCTATTTTGAGATTTGCATCACCTTTATATGAGAGATCTTATTTCCTTGCAAAGTAGGCTTTACTATACATTATAATATAACGTGTTTATATTTATGTCTCATAATACTATATTCATAGATATGGGAAGCAACGACCTGAACTTTTTCAATACAACAAATTTGAAGAATTTATCAAAGAGGCAATTCAAAGATTAAAACCGTCACAACTTCAAAATACAATGAGTTATGGTGTTAGGGATAAAATTTTAGAGCGTCAACTTCAAATGGAGATGTATGTTACCATACAATCATTACTGCCTGAAAGTTATTTTATAAGTCCTGATGTTGGACCAAAACCGGGTTCTGATGGGTTTGTAGATTTTTTTATAAATGGGGATTTATCATGGTTTATAGAAATACTTGTGGAGGGACAGGGCACCAAGGAACATTTTAAGCATTTTCAAATAGGAGGGAAATACCATGTTATGCTGAAACCAAATTCAAAATATGCTCTAATTGATTTCAGGGAATCAATAAATGTAAGAGTTATAAGAGAGAATTGCCTTTATGTTTTGTTTTTAGATGGATATAAGAAAGCAAGGATACAATATGGTGATTTTAATAAAGAAATTTTCCTATTGGGCGATACTATTTTTAATGAAAAATAATAAAAATAATAATAACTTGACATGACTTGATTTTCATCAAATAAATATGGGATTAAACCAATTGCCATGTAAATTTATTTATTTAACTATAGTAATGATTGTTATATCAATAATTACCATTACCACTGAAAGAATTTATATATCTTCAAATTTGTTGAATTAAAAAAGTTCAGGTCATTGCTTCCCATATCTATGAATATAGTATTATGAGACATAAATATGTTTATATTATAATGTATTGCGAGCATGCAATCCGAGTTTCTTAATTAATAAGTTATTTAAAGTTCAACACACAGCCTACTTGCTGACTTATGGTCAATTTTCCTTTATTTATATGTATATGACACACAGCCTGCTCGCTGACTTATGGTCAATTTAAATTAAAATGATTAATACAAATAAATCTTGCAATTATTATAACATTGATTTTTCTAATCAAATAAAAAAGTTTTTTGAATACACCATTCAAAATACAAAAATTATTATTTAACAAAATTATCTTAGTGGAGCACCAAAATTACTATTAGGAACATTATTAGAATAAGATAAGGTATTGGGAGTATTTCCGTATTGTTGAAGTTGTTGTTCACTAGGCATTTCTAAAACATCACTTGGAACTGAATTTTTTTTCTTTTGATATAATCTTACAGCTATGAATGTTGCTACTGCAACTACCATTGTTACAACTAAAACTGCAATTACTATTATTAATATTTGAATAGTATTTTGTGATGATGATGTTTCTGATTGTGATGGTGATGATAGTGATGATGGTGATGATGGTGATGATGGTGATGATGGTGATGATGATGATGGTGCTAGGTTTGCTTCAGATGCTGAAAAACTTGTTTTCCAACTATAATCTTTAATATCAAGTATATAGGTGTCTGCACTAGATGATTTTGGATCCGAAACAGCATTTGTGATATTTCCTATATAATTTTTATTTTTGATTAACTAATTTTAATGTTTAAGATTCAAATTTTTTAAAAATATAAAAAATAAAAAATTACCAAAACTTATGATCATTTGATCTCCAATTAAATTAGCTGAATGGTGTGTAACAGGTGGAGCACGATTAACACTTGAAAAACTAGGTGCAGACCATTGAAAAGGATTTTTAGTTGTATCTAATACCAGAAGTTCAGGAAGTGTTGTAGTTGACACAGGATCACTACTACCGCCAAAAACAATTATCCTTCCATCCTTTGCTATATAATAAATATATATATATAATTTTAGTATGATATTTTTATAAAAGATTCAAAAAAAAATTATATAAATTAAATAATTAATTACAAAGTACAGCTGAATGACCAGTTCGAGATTGGATGTTTGGTGGACCAGTCGCTGTCTAAGTTTTTGTCCAGGTATAAGAAAAAATAAATTATAAATAAAAATTTTATAAACAATATATTTTAATTGATTAAATATTTACCATACTTGACCAAATTGAATTATTCGTATCAAAAATTTTTATCTATAAATAAACATAATTCAACTGTAAATACATGCATATATTATTTTACTTTAATCAATATTTTCTATACTAATCTATAAAATAAATACATACTATATTCATGTTAACCAGAGTTTGATAATTTCCCTCTCTTCCACCAATAATTACAATTCTACCATCAGGTAATAAAGTTGATGTATGATCATAAGTTGCTAATGGTGAATTAGTTGCAGTGGCTAAACTCCAATTCAGGTCTATTGTATTCAAAATATACATATCATTAAAGCATTGAAAGGTGGAAGATCCAGTAGGTTTACCTGTTGATCCACCAAAAATATACATTTTTCCTTTATCATCTATAACAGCACTACTTTCTCTACGATTAATGGGAGTAATGCCAGTTGTTTTTGGAGCATTCCAAACTTTTGTATTTAAATCATACCCATAAAGCAAGTTGGTGAAATTATAAGTATCAGTAATTGGATTTACCATAACTCCACCAAATAAAAATATTGTTGATTTATTTGGTCCACCAACTGCACTCAAAGACCAAGAAATTCCTATAGGTAATTTGTCATTTTCTACCCATGGTACATTTGCAACATCAAAATCTTTAGTTAAATCCACATAAAATAATGAATCTGTTGTAATAACTGCTTGTTCTAAGCTTACACCTCCAAGAATGTAAAGTTTATTATCTACTACCACGCTAGTAGCTGCGTAACGTTTTATCTTAGGATCAGAAAATACATTATTAATAATAAATATTATAATAAATATTAACTGAAATTTGTTATTTTTGAAATTTAAAACCATCGATTTTTTTTTTAATTTTTTTTAAGAAAAAAGTGTTTAAATTTTTTTTTTTAAAAAAAAAAACCTGTTTTAAATGTATCTAAAATTAAAAATGCAGGACACAACTTTTAGCCAAGTTTGGGTGGACAATGAATTTAAAGTCAGTGTTCAATCAATCCCTTAAACTATTTGGTATCTTCATACTTTTTAAAGATTTTACAAAAACATCAAATTTTTATTTACAAGTGTTTGTTACTCTCGGAATATGTAATTCAGCCTGTAGCATATTAATATGCCTTTTCTGGAAAAAACTGAAACTATTTATTATTATATCATTTATAGCAGCCGGATATAAACCGGATTTTAATTTATTGTGATTACTATATTTGGTAACAATCAATTTTATTAAATTACTATATATATAGATTTATTTGTATATATACAAAATATTTTGATGCGGCACATCACTAAAATTCAAATTCATTCTAATTAATTAACACAAGTAAGAAACGAAACGAAACATTTGCCATTTCACGACCACCTACCAAAAGCAGCAAGGCGAGTGATTTTCGTGCAGGTTACTCGCCGATTGTCTCCTTTTGCGTTTAGCCGCGCTTGGTTTTTTCGGCTTTTGGCGCGATCAACGTTTTCACCATATTTGGTGAAAATTGTGTCGTACGGCAAATGTTTCGTTTCTTAATAGATTCAATTGCAAGCGTCGCATGCAATGCTTTGCAAGGTGAGGAGAGGCATGATCGATGAACCAGCAAAATTCTATCTTTTTCAAAGCTAATTTTTTGGGAAAGAATTTTTTGTTTTCGTTGGGTGGTAAATTTCAAAAAAAAAAATTTTTTTATTTTTCTGAAATCGATCTACGTGATTCTTTATTCTTTATTCTTTCTTTGATGATCAATGTAAATACCTTTTTTTCACATGATGAACGTTTATCGTGCAATAATAATAGTTTTTTTTTCCAACCGAAGAACTGTCTGGTTAGAATAAAAAGTTTTATTTATTTTACATTTACAAAGAGCTATTTAATTTCAACAATTGAATTATTGTTTTTTGTTATTTTATTTTATCATATATGCTACTAAGAATAACTTTTTGGTGGTGGCGAAACATCTTTCTTTTTTCGTTTAATATTTAGTCAGTGTGATAAAGATCATACCATTGATTTATTAAAACATTCCTGTGCCATTGATTTTGTTTAAAGTGTTATGCGTTTAGTTCGTTACAATTTACGAATTATCATTTGTCCTGTTTTTTTTTTGGATCATACCATTGATTTAGAAAAGCATTATGCATTTAATTAATTATTTATTTATTTATTATGTTTATTACTAAACATGCTAAAAAACAATTTTTACTATTATTATCATTTGTCCTGTTGTTTTGGATCATTGGTTTGTTTACTTTTAAGAAAAGCATTATTATTATTAAAAATAAAGCATTGTGTGTTTAATTCAATCGACAATTGAGTTGATTATTTGTTTATTACTCAAAATGCTTTGATCATGTCTATATGCTCATTTTGCAAAGCTGGATTGCAAGCTTCGTAAATCTTGACTTTAACACTTACTTTGATCAAACCCGCTCATATAATTATTGAATAATTGATAAAACGTCCGTTTTGCAAACTCAATTTGCAAGTTCATAGACCTCTTACTTCGATCAAACCCGCCTATATGATTATTGAATAATTGATAAAACGTTTATTTTAAAAACTTGATTTACGAACTTCTTGATCTTGTATTTAACACTTACTTTGATTGCACCAATACAGACTATTGAATAATTGACAAACGTTCTGTAATTTTTATTGTGTAATCCTGTGTAATTAAAAAAAAAAAAAAATTCAATAGAATAGAATTTGTCCAATGAAATGCTGTAAACTGTATATACCCCATGCATAACTTGATGCAAGGCTCATTTTTCCCATTACTAGTACTCTCTTGGGGTAAGACATGCAATGGCAACCCATGTGACTCACTTAAATGTGTTATCAAAAGTCCAGAAAGTGAGAGAATGGAACCCTTGCTGGTGGATCATTCTGGGTGTATTGACCTTTCATGACATGACCTCTCTTTTGTCAATTGTTTATTTTACTTAAAATATTTAGAAGGAAACAAAAAAAAAAGATAAAATTCGTTAATTGATTTGATTGGTTACATTTGTAATATATGAAGATCCATCAATTATGAGAAGGCATTATTATTATAGCAACAAGTAGCAAACAACAATGAATCATCATTTTTTGAGGATGATAATAAAAATTAAGATTCGATTTTGTTGCATGAAAATATTCAAGCTTTTCCAAAAAAAAAAAAAAATGGGGACGGCCGTCCTATTTATATGTCTTGGATTTAATAAATAGACTACTGTCTTGGCCCGAGTGATGTCATTTTTTTGCTCTTTACGGCAATCCCAAACCCGACTTAAAATAAATGTTTTTTGTTTTCGCGTTGAATGGTGTGCGTAATTTGTAACATGAAAAGCAAAAGCTCACATTGCGTTCTCAGTTGTGAGCTTGTAATTGTTAACAACAATGAATCATCATTTTTTGGGATAATAATAAAGATTAAGATCCGATTTTGTTACATGAAAATATTCAAATTTTTTAAAAAAAAGTGGGGACGGCTGTTCTATTTATATGTCTTGGATTTAATAAAATAGACTACTGTCTTGGCCTGAATGATGTCGTTTTCTATGAAGAAGATGCAATCCCAAACCCGACTTAAAATAAATGAATTTTTGTTCTCGCGTAACATGGTGCGCGTGATTTGTAACACGAAAACCATAAGCTCGCATTGCGTTCTCAGTTGTGAGCTTGTTATTATTATGTTTGTTAACATATATAAAAGAAGAAAAGGTTGCCGTGTTACGGTGCCCTACTAAATGTCGTAATTTTTTATATTTTGTGTAATATTTCCCCTTTTTATTTTTTTTCTTATTTTTTGTATCTAACGACTTTGCCCAATTTTGAAATGTTTTGTTGCGCAGGAAATAATTCATTTTTAAAGAATATTCTGTTCAGTTCAGTTCAGTTACGATACGAATTAGCACGAATATTCTAAACGTTCCTGTTTCTCAACTTTGGTAAACTGAATTTTTGGGGAAGGATGTGATCAAAATCAAAGGTAAAACTTTGTGATGAGTCGTTTTTTTTTTCTTTGCTACGCTGGCTTGAAATGATTTGCAAATTGATTTGAAATTTGTTAATTAATAAAATTGAAATTTGAACAGAAATATTTTCGTTTTCCAAAAAAATGATAAATGGTTGTGGTTATTTTACGTCACCGTATCGTATGAATCCCAATTGTTATCTGCTTGTCATGATTTGTGAAACTGAAAAACTTATCTGTTTTGGTTCAAAACGTCAGGGTTGAGCGAAACAGATATTTGACCAAAAGGAAATTGTGCTTCGCTTTAGATGTTTTTTGCGTGGTGTCGACCGCTGTCTACCGTTAGGTTTTCGTCTTGCTCCGACGTTTCGGACCGTTCAAAATGACCAAAAACTGATGGTCTTGTCTTGGAACCTTTACCTCAGATCGTCAAAGGCTTGTCACACAACGTGTTAGTGATATTTTCTGGTCACGAGACCGGGGTTCAAAAACGTTTTATTTCGTTTTGTCAATTTAAAAAAAAATGATCGATAAACAAAACAATATGTGCAAATTTGTTTTGATTGTTCATGTTGAATTAAAATTTTTTTTTGGATTTTGACCATTTGAGAGAGATAGTGGGTGATCTGGATAAGAAAAAACTTTGATTTTGACCATTTGAAGGATAGTGGATGATCTGATTTCCTTTTGGGGAAAACAATAAAATCGTTTGATTTGATGAAAAAATTTCCTTTCGGAAAACAAATAAAATACGTCGATTGATTAAGAAAAAAAAAGCTTGGTTGATTTTCCTTAAAACAATCAATTTGTAAGTGACTTTTGATGTTCGCATGAAGCTTATTCTTCTATAGCGATAGATGAAAAAAAAACACAAGGAAAAGATCAGGACAAAAGATTTTAAATAATCGAAATTCACAAATGGGCAGTTGATAATGTTGTAGTATTTGGTGCTCTGAAAGAGTGAATTGAATGATAATCATCCAAGTTAAAACAAAATAATTTTCCTGACTATAAATACACAAAAGTATTAGTAATATTTAAAAATTATATTTAATAATATATACATATATTAAATTATTAATTACATTATATAATAAATAGTCATTAATTTTATTAGGGTGATCAGTTTCAATTTTTTGTTTAAATCTTTCTACAGTCTTGTGACTTACTGATATACCCATTTTTGACAATATGTCTATTGATTCAACTGTTGCTCCAGATGATGATAAGTATAATCCAATTTCAAGTTGTAAAGAAATAATAAACTTGTTTCTCAAACCAGCTAACAAGTAACAAAATACAACAACATTTTTTTTAGCATTCTCCTTATTAAATTCAGATCTATTAGTTGGCACAAACATTTCAATTAATTCATCAAAAAAACCAATTAATATAGGTTGATATTTTTCGATCATTATTTTAAATTTATCTGGATTTAATTCAAGATTTGAATTAAAATCCCTTTGAAGATAAAATAAAGAATCAGATAAAATTTTAATTTTATAACTGAATTTATTAGATTTACTAATTTGATTATTTCTATAAACATTCAATTCTGACTCCATATTAGATATTTTCTGCAATAAAAGATCAAAATTATCTTTTGTTAAATTTGGTTTATCATTTGCCATATCAACTTTTATATCTGACCAATTTTCAAAATTATTTGAAGAATTATCATTTTTATTTTTTAATAAATCAGATAAATTAGTTTGGTAAAAATTTGATGATTTTTTTTTTTTAACATTCCTGTCTGGCTCTACAATCATTAAATAATGTTTAAGACATATTTTATCACCAATATTTAGATAATTATACATAGTTAGTGTCTCTTTTTCTTCAGATTTTTTTTTGGCACCAGGTGTAAATGTTCTGATATCTTTGTTTGACTCACAATCCAAAACTTGACAATAATTTATATTTTGAGACATTTTTTAATAATAATAGGAATTTTGATTGTTGTAAAAGAGATAATATTTATTAAATAATTTTTATGTAATAATTTTAAATTAATATTTATAATTTATATATACTCTTTTTTATTAATAAAATTCAACTCATGGTAATAAAATACTATTTTTAGTTTCAACCTTTAAAATTTTGTTTTTGTAAAAGATCTTCAAGCCAATAAAATTTGATTTTTGTGTGATTGTTTGGAGGGTGATCGTCATAAAATTTAGCCAATGAAATCAAAATCACAATGTGATAAACGAATGTCCATTATGCTTGTCACCATTATACCAATGGGACAACTTAAACAGCTTAGCCGGCTAATAAATGACTTAACAGACTTAAACATATTGGCTGGCTAATTAGATAACATAACCAGATATATTAACGTCATTTCTTAATATTAATGGATAATGATAATGACATGATATGGTTATGGTTATGGAAATATAATGTATTAGAAAATGTCTTGTCAGTATGACAGTATCAGAGAAACATTTGTTAGGGGATCAGGTTAGGCCCACATCAACGAATTTACAAATACTACAATCAATATTAATATATTAATGCAAAAAAATCAACCAATTTTGGTGGTTTAGGAAACATATATTCTTTTTTTTTTGACATTTTTTTTATCTTAACAATAGGTTAATTACATTATTCAATCGCCACATTCATTACCTTATCACTGTAATGATGAAATAGCAGTTTGCAATAATGACATTCATTTACAAACAGTTTAAAAGCTCAGAATTCGTTTAGGTCTGATATTACTGTCTGTACATGAGGACATCATATCTAAAATAGTAAAGCGAAACTTATTATCTTCCCCCAAAAGAGAGCTACACTTCAATTCCAACTCTGTTTTTCTGTTTTAAATCAGCAATTTTAAACTCGTACAAATAAGTGTACCAGATGAAGTTTCAACTCCTCAGCATGTTTTTCTTTGAATTATATTTATTGGAAAAAATCCTGATAATGCTAAAACATGAAACGGTATTTTGTACTGCATTATTGCGATTTAAGTCTCTTGGAGATATCTCTTAACCTTTGTAAGAACCTAAATTTTTTCTTACATAAATTTATTTTTAATTTTTTGCGAATTCCATACTTTTCATTATATTGCATAAATAGTTCATTAATAAGAATCATGGGTAGGTTTAACAGGAGATAAAAAATGCATTGATTACAAATATTGCTTATTATTATAAGGCAAATATGCATTTTTTCCCTTATTATTTATTTATTTTTTTTTTTTAAAAAATGAAAAAAAGTATGAAACATCCAGGAAATTCATCATGTCCATCAAATTCAAATTATTGAAAGTTGGGAGGCTTGTATATGTATAATGGGCTTGTTTGCAATTTCCTTTGGAAGAGTGATAGTGAGAAATTAGTTTCACCAGGTACTTGGTATAGTCAAGCAATCATTGAACCTGAAATATGGTTCAATGAAATTATTCTATTGATAAGATCCCATCAAATAATTTTCATGATAAATAGATAAGCATGTGAAAGAATTCTTTTATGATTTTGAATTGTTTCCTTGAGAATTTCTAGATCAACTATCAAAATAAAAGAATCAAAAAAAATTCCTAAATGATTTATATTGAATTTTTAATCCTAATTACAAAATGATTTAAAATTTTCTTATATATATTGAAAGATTCTTAATTACAATTTGGAATAATATTGTCATAAAGTTATTTAAATCTTAGAATTAGTGTTGAAGGTATATATATTAATAAAGAAAAATAATTAATTAAATTTAAATATTCATATTCTATGATTTGATGTGGAAATCATGTTTCGAATTAGAAATTGTAAGTGGTATTCTGGTAATTTATAATATTTACATTTAATAATTTAATTATCATTTGTTTTATTGACTTTTATGCCAGATGTGAGAATTACTTTATGAGCATTTGTTTTAGAGCTCTCAGAATTGGATATAGAAGTCTGATAATTGACATTAATTGTAATTAATTTGGTTATTCTGAATATTTGGATTATATTATTTATCATTATCATTATCACTATTACTATCACTACAGCTTCAGTATTATTATCACTATTGGTATATTTGTAACTATTATCATTTTCATTTTTTTCATTTCATTATGAACTTGTTATATTACAGAGTGTGTCTTGATTTAATGGATCGAGGTACAAGAATGGTTTAATAATAATAAACTAAAACTATAATAGCATATTAAAATTCTTCTCGATATATTAATAATGAAATCAAATCATATTTTTGAATCAGTTCGAATCGAATCAAAGTACAATTCGGATTCGAATTTCATTGATTCGTTCGGATCCTTAATTAAATGATAAACTCTATTATTTTGGAGGATATTCTGCCAAGTAAGGAATCACAAACCAAACAATTTACCTCGCACAACTATCATAAATAGGAATACGCAAGGCACGAAAACGGTTTTTGATTGTGAAGAGATATGTAGATATCTAGAGGTAAAATAATCTCTATTCGAATATTCTCAATATGTATAGAAATTAATCAATTTTTCATATGCATATACCGTTAGTTTTTTGAAATATGAAATAAGAAAATATATATTTTATTTGCTAAAATAAAATATAAAAATTAGTGATTATGCTGTGGTGAGAAGACAGTAGGGCTTGGATGAACATTCCTTAGAGGATGCGAACTGACCTGCTCTAATGTCCGCACTAGCAAACTCTTACTCACAATTACGATATTTCTCAGAGCCAAAATAAACGTAGAAGAGAGTTCATACGCTGTAATGAATTCGGCAACAAAAGTATTTCCGCATAATCTAAATGAAAATTCCTCCCAAGTCCTAACGAGAACATTCAAATGTATAACGTCAGCAGCGACCTGTATTTCCTCAACATCAAATTGATTCACCATCGGTCTACATGTTGTATCGATAAAACTTGCCTCGTCTAACGTTTCTCTCCAAAGCTTCACATAATCGTCATTTTTTTTAGTTTCGCTACAGTTGATACGGGAGGATTCAACATATCCAAGCTCGAAAATCTACTCTGCATTCTTTATCAACATTATAACGTTGGGCTTCTTCCCCATACGCTCTCCATAGACTCCTATGTTTTGCCTGCAAGTCTTTGACGTTCTACTTTACAATTAGCGAATAAATATGATTAATATAACCATCTAACTTTTGTGATAATATTTTATCAATTAACTCTTACATGCTCAAGCAGACATAGACATTTGGAAGGTTTTCCAAACTTGCTCAAAGTAATGGAGCAATAACATCTGTTATATATGTTTTCTTACTTTGTTGGTTACAAGACGTACTAATCTCAAATGCTGGATTACTCTAGATTCTCCACTGGTTAAAATTTATATAAGTTTCATCGTTAAAAAAAAATACATTATGAAATTACTTACAGTACGCCTTGAATGTATTCTACTATCTTTATAACTCAAATTCGCTTTCTTTCCATGGTTTATTATCGATAAATGTTCCCCATATCTCTTGAAACATTCGTGTTGTTGAAATTCTCTGCACTTGAATATAATTGAATTAGGAGAACGCATCTCATGTTTTCACGAGGCTCCTATTTATAAAAATAAACGTAAGTTTGACTTACTTAAGCCTAAATAATAACCATTCTTACCATAAATAGACGCCTCTGCTTCACTCCCAAGCCTTTTAGTATCTCCAACTTTTCACTTAGCATCGCACTTGCTTTGAGATCCTTCCACATGAGCTCTGATTGGTTGATACTGTCCAGATTTGTCCTGAGAGAACCGTAAAGGTTCGTATCACTTCCCAACACAGGGTTATAGAAACATTATAATATTTCTTTCAGTAAAGTTAACTCTATCAGGGTATGCTATAAAAACTCAGTGTACCTCAAGCTTGGATTTCAATATGTTCTATTTCTTCTTTTGGATGGTTTTTGGGTAATTTTCTACCCTATATATTGGCTAGCCTCTAATCATGTTTATATTTTGAATTATATTTTTAGATATTATACCATATTCAAAGCCTTTATTAAAAGCAAACCCATGACGCTTTTGTACCCGGTAACCATCTACGGCAGATATAACGTATATTAGATTTGTGATCACAAAATTTTTTAGAGATGATAATTATTTGCACATGTACAATTAGGATAATCTAATTATTAATTATCATAGTTTCGGCTGAATAGTCACGCACAGCTGGGAATGAGCCAAACCCTTCAACTTCTGACGACATTGCTCTCCCAGGGCGGCACTCCCAACCTTCAGCTATGACATACCAAAACTTGACTGAAGATCTACTGTAGTTTTATCACTTTATGCAATTATAAAAAAACCAATTTATTTGCTACTAACCTCTGGTAGAACTTCCAAGATTTTTTGTTCTTCGTTCCATATTGGTTATTTACATTAATGCTGAATTTACTACGCGATCTGCCAAAGTTATGATGTCTTCATATCTGCTCAAATTGTTGCCATTCATTGCCAGATAGATTAACTAACACTCGGTAATTTTAATTTACCTTTATTGCCATCAATATTAATATCATCAAAGCCTAAAGATCATTGGAAGCATTAAAACATTAAGATCATTTATTGAATCATTTATTATAACTATATTACTTTTTAATTGGTAATATCGTCATTTAATATTCTACCTTGATGTTAAGAAATGAATAATATAAAGTTAAAGATGCTTGGTGAAACTATCTAAACATTTAGGCCCATAAGACAAAACCAATTTAGGCTGTCAAACCTAGTTCAAAGTTTTAATTATATTAGTTTTTTCAGTATATACTAGAGATAGTAACAAAAGTTACATATATAGATTACGTGACTGTAGCACAATGACTGATATTAATTTACTGTGGCACTGTTGTTTCAAAAAAATTTCTTCTCAAGCAATTTAATTTAATGGAGCCTAAATAATTGTATTTTGGATTAGGTTATTAAAAGTTTTTTAATTTTTATCAAGTATCCTTTCCTGAAAAAGGTTGAACTGGCCATCTCACCCAGAAGGTCACGATGCGATGGGAGATTCAGAGTGTTTAGATGAGTTCTGAATTTGGAATTTGCATCCAAGTTCTTTGAAGAACTAGTTAAAGCCTCTCTTATGTTCACGGGTATTGCACCTTTTTGTCAAGCAACGATTCTGGTGTATTATTACACAGGACCTCGGAAAGCATGTAAGCTCAACACGCTCTTGTAGCTCAAATTAATATAGTAATATTTCACTAGTTAAACATTCGAAAATCAATAGTTTTGTAGCGACGCGCCAAGAAAGCAAACTTTCAAGGATAGAAAGGAGAAGTCAGAAACTGTCAAATGGTTTAAACGGATAACAACTCCAAGGCTTAAACCAGTAGGTTTTACTGAAATTTACATATATGGAGACGCGTTAAATGCTCACATTCTTCAAAAATTTAACTTGATACTGATCTCTTATTAATAGATTTGACACAGATTCTATAAAATTTCGGGGTCAATACACCAATAGTTTTATTTGATGAAGGGGTTACAATATAACACGTGCATAAACGTGTAAAGGATAGTTTTATTAAATCAGATACCCCAAGTTCAATATATCAGATTTGATACTTTATTTTTGTAAGAAAATTCAACATTTTGAAACCGGATTGGGAATTAATATGGTGCAAGTCACCTAGTCCCGCAACTTGCTGCGCCTCGTGGCCAATTTTGGGAAAAATATCAAAACTCAGAAATTGTAAGTTATGCTCAAAAATGCAATAAAATTTTATATCATGTGACCTTTAATGGTGATACA